GTACTGCTGCCCCAGTCAGGCCCAGCAGGAGAACGGCCTCAGGGAACCCTTGGCAGTCCCCTGGATTACTGTGGGTGGATATGCACATGAAGCAGCTGTGTTTAGTCACTGTGACTCACAGTTGTGTCTTGGTGGATTTTACTGTGGACTTTTGTGGATGGACAGCTTAACAACTGGGCAATGTATGAAGCTCTGCTGAAGTTATCCAGCAGAGTCCCATCAGATACCTTCTCCCATATAGTGATATGGCATCTCTTAGCTGTCTGTCTAGCTCTGGGGACTCCAGACCCTCCTGGTCTTGGTTTGTGTGTCCCCTTTCCAAGTTGCTGTATTTGCTCACTGGAGCATACATGCATACCCATAGCCATGGAAGTGCCCTCATGGGCACTGGCTTCATTGGCAAGGCTACTGTTTTATTGCCATTGTTGGTGAATGTCACATCAGACAGGTGGAGAAAACAGAAACATTAATAAAAAATCCATTTCTTTCTGCAGTGTATATTTCCACCGGGGAGCGCTGCCTGTCAAGAGGGCTGATACCACCATTCTTTTGTATTGGCCAATGTTCCTCGGTGAACTACATCTCCCATGATCCTCTGTTTCTCTATCACCAGCTGACTGCAACAGGGGAGTTGCGCAGCTTCTTCTGATTGCTGGCTTCTTCGACTTCAGTGCTGGGTGTGCGAAAAATTAAGCCATATCCATTGGATTGGTTGTTTATAAATTGATCTGGGCCAGAGCCCATGGCTCTGAGCACATCTGGTGCTCCAGTGGAGTGAGTTTGGGCATGGGCGTGCAATTGGGGCATTCCAAGGTTTTTCCAAGTGTCCCACACTTAATCATGGCTTGGGTAAGGTCTATGTGAAGATCACTTAACCTGAGTGGGAATAGTGTGCTCCGCCAACAAGTCACTCCTTACATGAGCACAGCTGGACTGGCAAAGCTGTGCTTTGTACTGGAGCAGTTAGACCACCATCCATGAGCAAAATGAGCGAATGGTGCTGTATCTGTAGTAAGGGCTTTTCCTGGTACAGCTGTGTTGGTCAGGGTCAAATCTTTTCAGCCACTTGTCCCATATGAACTATGTTGGCTGAAGTCAGCATTGCAGACCTGTACGAGGGACTCTGAAGCATGTGTCCGTTGCTTTCCAGAAAGGGTGCACAGCTTCTCCAATACCCAGCTGTGTTGGGGAAGAAAGGGAAGGCAGGGCAGATGTAGGGGGAGTATTGGGCTTGGCAGAGGGTGGGAAAGGTAGGGAAGCCTCCCTTGTGCACTGCAGTCTGTGTCTTCAGCCTGGAGGGCCAAGGCAGGCCAATGTCATGCATAGGGGGTCGTTACTCAAACATCCCCTTCGCTGCTCCTCATTCCTTCACTGCAGCTGCCAGAAAGGATGGGTAGTTAGATTTTTTTAGAGATCAGAGAGCAGGTTTCTGTACCCATACCTTCCTGGGTCAGGGCTGCAGCGTAAGCACTGGGAATGGAAGCAGAAAAGACTGGAAACGGCTCCATACAGGAACAGTGAGGGTTTGAAAACCCCGTTATTCCCCTCAGCCCCTGTAGCTCCCAGGACTTGGAGCAAGTGATCAGATCAGGAGCTCTGTCTACCCACCCCGTTTGCATCACAGATCCCCAAGAGAAATCCACCATGCTCCCAGGAACACCTCTGGCTTCCCAGAGCGAGGCCTTTCTTCTGCTCATTCGCTCAGTAGGGCTCCTTTTGTTGGCACCTAGAGTCATTTAATGCAGGGGCTCTGCTGCTGTGGTTGGCCAAGGTGCTGGGGCTGGTCCATGGCGAATGAAGGAAGCATTACCCTAGACTTGTCTCTTGTATGGGACACCTGAAAGGGATGTGGCTGTTCCTCTGCTGCCAGGAGCTAGAATGATGAAGGTGCATTTGGAACAGTACCACTTTACCCAAGCTGTGACCCAAAAACAGCTCCGATTGCTGCCAAGGTGGAGCCATGAAGTACATCCAACAGCAATAAGATCTCCAAGGTATTGTGGGAAGCTTCCAGTCTGCCTGGCGATCCTTCTGGAGCTGGGAAGTTTGTGGATAGAGCCTCCAGCTCTGGGTTGCCCTTTTCCATGAAGTAGTCTGTGCCAGCAGGAGAATGGGCTAGGATCTGTGACCCCCAGCCTCAGTGTCCAGGTTCCCCCCAGAGCCTGAGCGCTCTCCTCCCTTCACTTGCCCTCAGGGAGCTTGGTCAGTCTCTCAAGAGACACTGTTGGTACTGGCAGTGAACAGAGCTTTTGTCTGAGAGGCCATTGCAACAGCAGGTTGCATGCAACAAGATGCTGTGGGACCATAAGAAAAGGAAGAGCAGGGGAAGTGAATGCGTAGCTGACCTGGTTGAAACCCTTGGGTCCTGGTAGCTGTTTTGCTTCCAAAGTTAGAGCTGGAACTAACAGGCAATGTGAGATTTTTGCACATTTTGAAGGCACGCAGGAGTGGAGGGCAAGGGCTTTGGAGATGTCAAGTGGGATCAGGCTGTTCAGTGAGAACAACTGTCTGGTTGCCTGCTCTTTATTGCCCTGCCTTGCAGAGATGATAGATGTAGCCCTCCACCGCTATGTCGGTCCCTTTTCTGTTGGGCAACTGATCCTTCCACAGTGGATTCAGGGCAGCCTGCATATTTTAGGGAGAGGTCAAATCTCATGGAGTTGGAGGAACTGAGAGATGGTTCCTCTATTGCATCAGTTAGAGCCAGACAGAGGATCTGCAGAGAGGTTGCCTTCTGCTCCACAATTAAAGTTTGTTCCTTAACTCTTCTCATTCATGCATACCTGTTTTTATTGAACCTGGGGGTCACTACAGGAGCTTGGCATTTAGATGCAGAGGACAAGGCAGGCAAGAGACTATCTGGCTTCTCTATATGTTCTACATCATCTGGTGCACTGACTGTACTGTGTGTATGTGGATGTTCTGGGCTATCACAGCTCAAGTGTGTGGGGAGACCATGCAGTCCACCTGTCCATAGCATGTATGTTGGATCTCCAGCCAAACCCCTCCAGCCCACACTTCTGTGAGCACCAAAAATCCAGCCAAAAGATTAGCAGCAAGGAAAACAGGTTGCAAAGCCACTGGAAAGCTGGGCTGTCCTGCGTGCCTCGCCCCTGTCTATGGATGCTTTCTGCTTTCCATGGGCGTCACCGGCTTCCCAAGCTGAGAGCTGTGGTTCAGGGAAGACACTAATTTTCCTCAATTACTCTGTCTGCTTTGTTTGCATTCTCTATAATTTCCTCCCCACCCTGACATGGCACCAAAATCCCTGCTGATCTAATGAAGCCCAACCAAAATGTCCAGCTGCTCAAGGAGCTGGGAACATCACCTCCTCATTCCAGATGGGGGATGGCAGAAGATACCACCAGGCTGTGGCAATGGGACAGACTAGTTGGGTTGCTGGAGTTGTGGAGTTGGGTTGCCTAGGCTTGGGAGAAGAGGGCTAACGGCATTGGGATTTTGGAAGGGCATATGGTCAGGAAATGGAGGTACAGGCCTTCGGTAGCAGTTCGATTCCAGGGTCTGTGACTAGCAGCTTCAGTAGGGGGTCAGATCCCACTATCATATGTGGCTTCTTCAGCCACTGCAGCCCTGGCTTGTCAGCGTGAGGACTGCCTCTCAGAGCCCATCTCAACGAGTTTCCCTCACTGTCCCTCTGCCTCATATGTGACTTTCTTTAGGGCTCTCTGTAACCATGCTGCCTTGGCATATCCATGCAAGCCTCTCAGATGGTCTCAGCATCTCCCTAGCTATAACATGCGTCCATCTTTTAATGCAAACTGCCACTGATATCTGGGGCCCCCTTGGCAGCCCTGACAAAACTAGTGCTTGTGAGCGGGCTGAGTTTTTCTACATCCCTTGGCTTCCGCTAGGTTTGGCCCAACAAAAAGAAGAAAGCACCATTGGCCTTACAAAGCTTTTAAGGCCTTGACTCTTCTTTGCTTCCCTTGTGGACCAACCTGGCATCACTTCTCTCTCTCTCTCTTGCCTCCTTTTCCTCTCCTATTGCTCCCATCATCGTGGCAACGTGGTCCTGCACTCACAAGATGAACCTGAGAGATGGGCCTAGTTCTGGGTATATCTAAACTTCCTTGGCCTCGCCAACCCTGAGGTTCAAAGGTCTTGAGTCAGGCCCACTAAAATTCATGGGATTAACTTAAAAATCTTGAGATGTTTTTGAATAATACTTTGGTGTGTTTTTTACTTGCTTTTTTGGCTTTTGAGCCTTTAGGGGGACACTTTCCCTCCTTCGCTTTGCACCAAGAAGGCTAGAATTTGGCTTGGGAGGATGGGGGAGAATGAGTAAGCTGTGATTTTGATGTGTTCACTTGACTGCCAGAGTCATGCAAGCCACGAATATCAAAAAAATGATGCGAGCTGGCAAATACTGTTTCCTGGAGGAGAGAAATGAGATTTTAGTAGCAGGGTCCTGCCTCTGCTTGGGAGAGGCTGGGAAAAGCTGTACCCAGAGTGAAACAATGGAGAAGGAATGAGGAGAGAAGAGAAATATCTAACAAGAGAAGACATTCATGGCTTGGAAATCATGCGGAAGACCCCCCACCCACACCATCACATGCCAGCCAAGCCCATAGGGGTTTTTCAGCCCCCAGAGTCTGCTCTGATGTCAGCTGAAGTCCGTAGGAATCTTTCTCTTTTCTTTGGCTTAGGATGAACCTGAAGCTGGGCAGTCCTGGCATGTGGGAGAGAAGCCAGTGTAACTAAGGCAGGCTGTTCATTGTCAGATAACTATCTGAAGAAGGACATGCAAGCTACTGCTGGAAGAAGCGTTATAGTAGCACCAGAGGCCTCCCTGAGATCAGGGTCCCTGGATATGGAGCTAATGAGAAACAGACCTTGGCTCAAAGAACTGGCAGCCTAAATGGGCAAGCCAACAGAAGGATTATTACATCCTTTTTATCCCTGAGAGAGGGAGTGGCTTTTCCAAGGCCAAATAGGGTAGAGCAAAGCTCTGATCTAGTGTGGAAAGGTGGGATCCTGAGCTGTGTAGATCTAATGTCAGGTCAGGTGTAGTAGATAATGAGTAACAGCGTACAGGACTACGTGGACCTCTGGGCTCATCCCATGTGGCAGGTCTGCCTGGTCTGCATCCTGCATGATGCTCTGTTTCTGAGGAGTCCTGGCAGAGCCTGCTGAGTTACTGTGCAGTTTATGCTGATTTTTTCTGTGCATGTTTCTTTTCAGCTCAGAGCAGCTGCTGCGAGAGGGGAGATTCCTTTTCCCAGAGGGCCTCACCTTCCTTCACTGATGGTTTTTGCTGAAGCAATGATGCCGTGCCTGTGGCTTATACCAGGACTGCTGGTGTTCGGTCTGGCAGGTAAGTGGGGCTGGGCGGAGAGGGTATGAGATGTGTAGGTTGAGAAGTGCATCCCGCATAGGCTGTTTCTGGGCCAGGCCCCATCCCAGTGTCATCCATGGAGCCAGTAACTCGCTTGACATTAGCACTGACAAGACATTGCAGTGTAGACCTGACCTGAGGGGTAGAAGGAGATGCTCTGTGCTAGCAAACAGTGGCTGGAACCTGTGAGGCAGCTGAGGACAGAGTGATATTATTACCTCTGGGGAAGCGTTCGCCCCTGTTCCTTGCTCCACTCTTGCAGATGGTGTAGCTCAGGTCCCTCTTTCCCTCGAGGTGCAGGGTGAGGTAAGGCAGTGGCCCAGCTGTGGCAAGCCCCTCAGGATGTCTCAGCATTGCTGAGTACACTGATGGCCTCCATGCTTGTACTCATACAGCTGTGTCCTGACTGGCTCTTGGGCAGGAGTATTGCCAGACGAGAGCTCTCTCCTTTGGTGTCTCCACACTTGGGCAGCCCTGGCTGGCCCACCAGGAGGCCCTGTAAGGTCACACAATCTCTCTTGCTGCCCGTGCCCAATCCTGTGGGGCAGGAAGACACAACTGAATTCAAACGACTTCACTTCACTTGCCTCCAGCCCCCTCAAGGAGCTTCCTGATGGTGCCCCGGTGATGCTGTGGGAAGAGACTCTGCGATGTGTGGATGAGGCTCTGGGCTGTCTGACAGTCGCCTGTCGTGAGTCACTCGCCTTTGTGCTGCTTTGGGGCTGCTCACAGCAGCAGGACAAAGCAGAGCCAAATCCGCGATGCTACAGCTGTGCTCAAACACTCAGTGGGGAGGTGGGACAGTAGAGACGGCCGCAGGTCGGGGATGAATCGCAGTGGCAGTTCAGAGAGGACCCTAGGGCTAGAATAGGAGGGGCAGCTGAATGGCACTGCACCACGTGGGGGAAATCCTATTCTGATGCATTCACACGGTCTAGCTGGTTTGGTGTTTCTGTGTTTAAAGGCCAGGGCAGATGAAGCCTGGAGACGTAGGCGGGCAGGAGACGTAGGCAGGTGTCACTGCAGTTCCTTGACATGGCAGTTCCACACTAAAGTCAAACCTCTGGTGCCATCTAGCGCCCAAGGAGTTGCACAGAGCTTCTTGGCCCTGTCGTGCATGTTGCTGACCCTTGCAAGATCTCAAGTGGCTGCTTGAGGTAGTACCTGTTAGGGTTTGAAGACAAGGACAGGGGCAGCTGCAGCGTGGCAGGAGGCCAGAGCGGTGACACCTCTCCGTTTCTGGAACCAGGAACATTTTCAGATTGCTTCCGGGTTCCTTGAAACAATTGAAGTACCACTGAATCCTGCCTCATCAGTGAAGATTGCTGATCTAGAGCAGGGGTGTGGGTTGTAGCCGTGTTGGTCTAAGAACACAGGCAGACAAGGTGCTTTGGGTGAATCTGATATCTTTTATTAGACCAACTTAAATAACTGGAAAACAATTTTTAAGCAAGCTTTTGGGTTCAAAAACCCTTCATCAGGCTAAGGAAGTTTCAGCAGTTGGGTGTGCTCTTCCTGGGTGGAATGGAAAGTAAAGAAGCCAGAGGCTGGGCTGGGCTGGTATGCATACAAGACAGGCAGTCAGTGAAGATGTAGACTGAGGAGTCAATGGGTGAGAGACAGGCTGGGTGTGGGGGAGAGAAGGCGGGTGAATAGTGGAGAAGTACCTGGGGAGTCAGATGTCAGGCAGGTGTCATAAATCCAATGTCTATATTTAGTCTATGATTTTTAGTATCCAGGAGGCTGATGAAGTGGAGTTCATAGGCTCGTCTCTGGGAAGTGTTTTGTAGGTTTCCTTTGAGGATCAGGACTGAGAGATTGGAGAGAGAGTGGTTTTCTTGTGAGAAATGGGCCCCCACAGGTAATTGGAGCAAACTTTTTATAACAAAAAAAGACTTGCTCCATCTCTCCTGCCTTTTCCTTTTCTCTTGCCTCCATTTTCCCCTCTGCCTTGCTGTGTCTGCTCTGCAAGTCTTTTCCTACATCTGCAGTCCCCAAGCAATTAGTTATTCCATTATTTCTTCTCCTTTCACAGTATTTCCTACCCCCCTCGTTTTTTCCTTTATGAAACCTCTTCCAGATATTTCTTGCATCATCCTTTGATCCCCATCTCTCCGTATTTGCTGTCTGTCCTTGTTTAGCACAGGTGGGCTCTTGGAAAAGCTGCCTGCTGCTGACAGATCTCTTTCTCTCTCTTTTCAGTGATTTGCAGGGAACCATAGAAAGGCAGTTAGGAGGATTGCAAAGACAGAAATGTTGCACCTGTGGTGTTCATTGGAGTAGACTGGTGCCTTATTCACAGCCCACTAGATGATAAACTGGCAGAAAATGACAAAATAGGATTCAGCAAAGAGCCATTAGAACCAGAGTTAAAATGATTCCTTCCTGCAAATGTGCACCAAGGGCTGTAGTGTCTTATTTGAGTGAGATCTTGAGACTGGAAAGGGAACTGTGGACATATAGGAGGAACCTGTTGGTTCTGAAGGGGATGCAATAGGGTTGAAGAGAAAGGTGGATTTCCTGTTGGAATCAAGTGACTGAAACAGGTCAGAGCCCAGAGGTCAGGACAGAGGCAATGCAGCCTTACAGGGAAAATCAGGGCTTGAGGATATCCTGCGAAGGTGCCCAAAGGCAGCTAGCAGCTATGGTACTGTTCTGGGTCCAGTGACCTGTTTTTTTACTCTTGCCTTTACCCTGCTGGGGCACTTTGGGCAAGTCACTTTTCCTTAGCGTGCCTCTCTTTTTCCTCCTGCTTCCCATGTCTGTGTGATCTGTGTAGTCCATAAGCTGTTTGGAGCAGAGATCCTCTCTTGCTAATTGCCTGTACTGTGCCTACTACAGGAGAGAGTTTAGTGGAGGGCAATGAAAAGGATGAGAGGGCTGGGGCACATACATGACTTATGAGGAGAGGCTGAGGGAACTGGGCTTATTTAGTTTAGAGAAGAGAAGACTGAGGGGGGATTTGATATGAGTCTTTAAGTACCTGAAGGGTGATTTCAAAGAGGATGAAGCTAAACCGTTCTTAGTGGTGGCAGATGACAGAACAAGGAGCAATGGTCTCAAGTTGCAGCAAGAGTGGTGTAAGTTGGATATTGGAAAAAACTTTCTCACTAAGAGGATGGTGAAGCACTGGAGGAGGTTTCCTAGAGAGGTGGTGGAATCTCCATCCTTGGAGGTTTTTAAGGCCCAGCTCGGCAAAGCCCTGGCTGGGATGATCTAGCTGGGGTTGGTCCTTCTTTGAGCAGGGGGTTGGACTAGATGTGACCTCCTGAGGTCTCTTCCAACCCTCATTTTCTGTGATTCTGCCATTCTACCATGCCAGGAGACTGGTTCTCCTTGGTACATCTGGGCATTGCTGGAATGTAAACAGTAGCCTCCAGGGCTGAGATTTCTCTTGTTGCTTCAGTGATACGTTTCAGTCTTTGCTGTGTATCAGTGCAGCATCAGCTACAATTTGCTCACAATGCTGATTTGCTCTTTGAATTTCTTCTGAAAGCAGAGTAAAAACCATGCAGACTACCTCTTTCCCTTCCTATTACAGCCACAGGTATGAAAGTAGACCCTTGCCTTGCTTGCAGCCCCACTCCTGTGAATGGCAGAGCTGTAGCAGATGAGACTCCATCCTTCATGTTTCTAGTAGAGGGGGATTGTTTACTGTTGATGCTTGCAGTATTCCAGAGCTGACATGGGTTGAGTTACAGGATTATCACCAAGGCAGAAGCTGCAGCATAAATATACTGTCCCAATACAGAGGTGAGCTGAGCAGAGGGCTATCTTAAGGTCTAGATGGCTGTGATTCCCCTATGACAGCTCCATCTGCAGGTCTGTCATTGGAAGAGGGTGCAGCTACTGCTCTCAGACAGCTGAGGGCAGCAGTGCCACAGGACTGGGACACAGCACCCATCTTCCACCCTCCTGAGAGCAGTCTCCTGGCCCAGGAAGGCTGTCAGATCACCTGTATCCTACCTTGACCTTAGGCTGAATGGCTGCAGGGTGTTGTGTGCATTGTGTTCAGAAAGGACTTTCTTTGTGGTGGGATGGGTGTGAAAGCACTCAAAGCTAAGCAGACATGGGCTGGGTTGGTGCTTGGGTAAGAGAAGTCTAAGGGAAGTGGCATGCTGAAAGATAGCATCCATGTGCATCAGTAAGGGGTGCTTTTCCTCAGGAATCACCGCTGATGTGACCCCCATTGCTTAGGGGTTCTGCTTTATTATTGGCAGCACTGTCTTTCAGATGAGCGTTGTCCTGCTGACCATGAATGATCATTAGACTTCAGAAGAGCTCTAGAGTCCAGGTCAGATTCAGGTAGATACTATGCATCCCGTCCTCCCTGCCCTATCAGTGGGGTTCAGGGGAGTTCTTCACCTTGTACCATGAACTGTTAGGTTGCTGTGGGCTTCCAAGCAGCTGCCATGTTCATCCTCAGAGCTGGCTGCATTTTGATGGTAGCATATTATGTCCATCACTATCCTGAAAGACCCCTGCAGAGCTACCACTGATTTCAGGGCAAGACCCATGAGCAGAGAGAGCACCATGTAATGCCAGGCCAGGGAAAGACAGAGGCAAGGAGAAAGTTTAGTCCCACTAGTGATGGTGCGAACATTAGCAGAGAGGGAAATGGACAGGAACCGCAGTGCTGTGGACCTGGGGGTAAATCCCTACCTCCCCAGAGGCATCCTCCATCTTCTTCCCAAGGATTTCTTGGCACCCATTCAAGGGGAAGGGGAAGCTGAGATGAGGTGACCTCTTGTTCACTGGGGCCTTCTGCTCTAAGGCCCCTGGTTTGCACAGTGTTGTGTAGTTTTGGGCCTGTCTCACTGCTATGCCTGTTTGTTTGCTTTCTGACCTCAGGTGCTATAGAAATCCAGGTCCCTGATGACCCTGTGGTTGCCCTCTTTGGCCGAGATGCCACCCTCCGCTGTTCCTTCTCTCCCGATGCCAACTTCAGCCTGGACAAGCTCAGTCTCATCTGGCAGTTGACTGACACCAAGCGCCTGGTGCACAGCTTCTCCGGCGGGCAGGATCAGCTGGCCGACCAGGGTGGAGGCTATGTCAACCGCACGGCCCTCTTCTACGACCAGCTGCCCCAGGGCAATGTCTCGCTGCTGCTGCGGAGGGTGCAGATCTCTGATGAGGGCAGTTTCACCTGCTTTGTCAGAGTCCAGGACTACAGCAGCGCAGCAGTGATGCTGCAGGTGGCTGGTGAGAGATGGAGAGGGGCTTCCACTGTAAAGATTGCTAGGCCAGGGTGCCGTAGCGCCCCCCCCCAACACACACACGCACATGCACACGCATGCGCACGTGCGCCTTGGGAGATCTGTACTGATCTGGAGCTTCATGCAGTCTCCCGTGCTCTTACAGAATCTTTTTCTCTCACTCCCTGCTCCTCCATGATTTCTCTATCCTATTCCCTCCCCTAGTTGTCTTGTCACAGGCAACCCATCTCTCCCCCTTCATCACAGGCCTAGGGATCTTTCCTCAGATCCTTGACTGTCTTGCTCCTTGCGAAAGATGAGCTGGATCTGGGTGTCGGAGGGGTGGGTAGAGAAGGTGGGAACAAGGGTTGTCTGCAAATCTAGAGCTGAGCATTTGGGGTGGAGCTAGAGCTCCAGCACTCCAAGCTCCAGGAAGGCTCAGGAATGGAGTTTATTTCCCACAGGAGAATATCCCGACTTCAAATGACTCTGAGGATTGCCTCAGTGAACTGTGCTGAGGTCTTGGAGCCAACCCCCAGAAACATTGCTCCTGGAGGTGACAGGATGGCTCATGCTACTGATGCCTCCCAGCAGCAATGTACATAAAACCATCTCACCCGGACCAAGCAAAAAGGGGGGTGAGAAGCCACCCTCCTTGGCTGGCCCTGGCCTTTCCTGTGCTGTGTGCTGCCCCTGGAAACCTTGGTTCTAGGGGTAAGAAACTCTGCTCTGTGTGGCTGTGTTCCTGCCCACCTGCTGGGGGAAATGGCACCACGCGTGTGCACTGGGATTGGGGACTGGGCCTAGAAGATAGGCCAAACCCCATGTGGAGGGTTCAGGGTGACTGTGTCTTTGTGGGAAGTCTCTGAACTCAGGCTGCATCACGCAGAACTTTGCCTGTTGGGCTGTTAAGCTGTGTGGGGACCTGCACCTCTGCTCCTGCACTCAACTCGATGGCCCACCTTACTCCTAGGAAGTGACATGCCTATGGCTTCCCAGCAGAGAGCATTATGGGAAAAATATTTCTGAATGCTTTTGTTTTGCTCTGCCGCTGTCTTCCAAAGGTGTGAGGAGGGGTGCAGGTGTGTGCCTCAGTGGTGTGGTGATGGCTTATGATAGTAAAAGCCTTGGGGAAGGAAGAGGGAATGACCTCCTTGATAGCAGTCTGATCATGCCAGCTGGCTTAATTCCAGTGCATCATACCTGCTCACTTCCCTCCCTTTCAGCTTCGTACTCCAAACCCAATTTGAATCTGGAGCCCAACAAGAACCTGAAGCCGGGGGACCTGGTGACAGTGACTTGCCTCACCTTCCGTGGCTACCCGGAGGCTATTGTCCTCTGGCAGGACGGCCAAGGCAACAACTTCACGGAGAACGTCACCACCTCCCAGGTGGCCAATGAGGAAGGCCTCTTCGACGTGCAAAGTGTCTTGCGGGTGGTGCTAGAGCCCACCAGCACGTACTCCTGCCTGGTGAGGAACCCCGTGCTGCAGGAAGAGACCCAGGCCTCCGTCACTATCACAGGTTAGTGGGTGAGAGTGGGGCTGGTGGGAGCTTGTGGCATGAGGACAGAGATGGGCTTATCTGAAACCCAGTGGCCCCATGCATGGGGGCTTCTCGAACTCAGCTCCTCAGGCTGTAGTTTGGCACCAAGGTCAAAGACCAGTGGATGGACCCCTGGAAAATAAGGCTGGAACTAATCCTTAATCCCAGCTATCCGTTTGGCCAGGGGCATGAAGCTTGCTTGAGCAAACCTGAGCCTCCTCCTGGCTGTCCAGACCTAAGTCTTGCTGCATAAATCAGGGTCTTGCTGTCCACTCTAAGTCCCTAGTGTGCTGCTGTATGTGTGGAAAGGAAGGGGAGCACATAAACGGTCCTTCCCCCAGCTGGATGCCTGCTTCCACAGAGGGGCAGCTTCTGTGCTGTGTGAGAGGGCTGGAAGGATGGGGCAGAGGTAGCTTTGTGTCACCTGCTGCAGGGGCCAGGCAACTTCTAGTGGAGCTCAGAGCAGCTCGAAGCACAGGTGTGACCGCAGATCCCTGCACCCAGCTCCATCCCGGCCTGCCAATAAGCACTAGAGTTCGAGAGAATGGGCAGTGTCAGACTGCTCTGAAATGGAGGGAGTTCTCCCCTTATGGCCCCTGCACATTGCTGGAGTTGGCATATAGGAGACCAACTGGCATGAGTACAAAATCTGTTCCAGGTGCGTCTCTGCTCAGCGTGCAGTCCTGCTGTCTGCTTGCATGGGGGCCCCTCATAAGATGCTCAGATGCTGTTGGATGTGGGGTGCATGGCTGTATA